ATATATATATATATATATATAATGTAAATTTATTATAATTGTTTGATTATGGGATAAATAACTTTAATTAGGTTTAATATTTTTAGTTAAATAATTGCTTAGACTCTAAATTATAATTTGTGTAGGATGCTAGTTGAATCAGTGAAATAATTAAGTAACTATGCTTTGTTAGGGTATGACATATTCTTTCTAGTTATGAGTATTAATCCATATTATTTATATTAGATTTCTAGCTACTTTGTAGAATTAACAATCATGCAATGCTACTTTTTTTATATATATATTTTTTATTTTCTACTTGTCAAATGCTTCATTTATTGATTATAATGAGGTAATTAACTGTCTTAATTTCTTGCTGCACAACTCCCAACATTTTAGATTAAATCCTATAATTATAAAATTCTATTTCCTTGCATGTTATACTTAAGAATTGAATGTATATTTGTCATATTATCAGTTTGTATAAAGTAACATATTGCGTATGTACTTGTGAAAAAAAATTGTAATTATGTATGCATGTATTCAGTGGTATGTAGGTTGGCAGAATTTTTTTGAATATTGACTAGTTACAGCAACATGCCCACAGAGTGGTGACTTTACAGAAAATCATCAGGTTTCCTTGGATTGGGTTTATCTTCCCAAGTTTAGAGTGTCTGATAAAATCAACTATATGAACGTAAACTAAACTGAAAAAAAAAATGTTAGTTGTGACATAAACTAGTGATTTTAATGATTGCATGTTTCGTTGAATTCATTGACCACATTCATTTACTACACACTAACGCCTAATAGAATTTTGCATATACATATAGTAAATCATCTTTTTTTTTTGGTTCACACTGCATGCTTCAATTTCTTGTCCTTTGTTTTAATAAATAGTGATTATTTATTGAGTTTGATGTGTCGAATTCACTCGTTGATATTTTTGCATAATATGTTATATTCAGTTCTAGGGGGGTATTTTTAGTTTCGCATTAGTTTGTTTAGCTTTAAGTAATTGTTTTCTGTTGTCATTTCAGTTCTAATTCATTTAGTTATGCTTTTTTTTTTTCCAATTGTATTAATTAGACTCTTATTTGTTAAATAAAACTTATCTTTCATTGTTTTTTTTTTTTTTTTCTGATACTACTTGCATATTATTTTATATTTGAGCCTATAAAATATGTTCAATTCATTTCATCATGCTCTGCATCGTCAGTATGTACCGTACGTCATTCTAATCTAGGTTGTGATTGGTAGGATAGTTCAAACCCAACTTAAAAATTAAATGAGTTAGCATGACATAATCAAACTTAACCCGGAAGTTAAGATGGTTAATTATAATTCAGATTTGTCGAGCCGGTTTTGGATAGGTTCATTTTCTTGTAGCCCTTCTTGGTCTGCCATTTTTGAGAGAATAAGCTTCTTTTTTTGTGATACCTTTTTTAAGACTTATTTATCTGAACTTCTTGGTCTTTTTAATTAAGCTAAATATATGTTACATGCCTATTATAAGTTTTTTTTGTCATATAAATTAGATAGTTTATAAATATTTATAATAGTATTATTTGCATTAAAAACCTTGATGTATAAAGTGGCAATTAAGCGGCTAAGCTAGCCTAGATTCCTACAAGCTGATGTGATCGATAGGGTTTATATTAGGTTGGGTTTTATTAAACCACTAGGGTCTTGAGAAAGCTTAGGCCGTCGAAATGCTTATTTAAAGTTGAACGAACCTTGTTTTATTTTAACTATAATTAAATAAGCGCTTGCTCAATTGAAACTGGGTGAAGATGAGTCTTACATCTAAAATTCATCGAGGGCAAACTAGGGATCCTTTGGTCTACAATTTTTCGTATGAGGATTAAAAAATCTCCTTTAAACATAGTAAAGTCTAACTAAATATAACCAAGTTAGATTGGCTAAGTATAGAAGTGTCAAATCGGGTTCACAACTCTGATTCAGATCTAATTTGAAATTATCGACTTGAAATGGTTAACCAAAACCATACATGAATATAAAATGGGCCAGAAAGTCTAACCCGAACCGAATACACCTTCAACCCAACTAACCCAAACCCGATATAAATATTAAACCAGCCAGAAAGTCTAACCCAAACCGAACACTCCTTCAACCCAACTGACCAGAACCCGACCAACATAACCTGTTTATTATATGCATAATGGTTATCTATATAAAATTCTTAATACTTTTGAATTAGAAAAAAAAGGCTTTTATATTATTATTATTATTATTATTATTATTATTACTTTGGTCCAATCAAATCAAATAATCAAAACTCTCATCAATCCCTAGCAAAAAAGTAAATAAATAAAAAGAAAATGAGTCCAAAGCAAGAAGCATATTACACATTTGTCCAAACAAATTGATTGATATTTCAAATGCATTACAAATCATTCCATCCAAAGCAAAGCAGGCTAACAAACAGATTCTTGAATGAATTTCTTCCTAATGCATCCAAGCACTAAGGCATCAAAGCAGGTGGCCTCTGTGGGTCTCACCATATATATTTTGGCAGCTACATCATAAATACAGCTGGGCATGCAGATATTGTCAATCGTTGATGGTGTTCGACTCGTTAAACAAATGGGATAGTTGTTTGTGCTTGGGTCGTTAGCTTGAAAGATGAAACATGTGTTGATTATGAGCAGGGTGTAGATGTGTTGAGTAGAGCTCAAGTCATGTCTAGCTTGAGCACAGCTCGTTTAACAAAATATAAGCTCAAGCTTGACCCGCAATAATGGAAGCATGCTCGTGAGCCAGCTCGCGAGCTCGAGCTGAAAATCACCAGAGAAGGTATCGGTAGTTGGAGAATAAGGAAAAATATCATGACAGCTAGTCGGAGAAGGCTTCGACGCGACCATTGATCGGCTAGTCAAGATAGCGCGTGAGCTGATGAATCGAGTCTCGACAAGCTTGATCTCAAGCTCATTTAATAAAAATGCTTGAGTTTTAGCTTGAGTTTAAGCTCGTAGCTCAATAAACTCGACGCACAAGCTTGGTGACAAGTTGAGCTTGCGTCGGCTCGACAACTTACATCGTAATTATGAAAGTGAAGTCTACTTGAAAGTCATATATGAATTGTAGAATATACTTGCTATCATGTGTATGCAAAAAATTTAACCCAACATTGAGCCGAAGGAGATTAAACTAAAACAATGTGTTTTTTTAATAGTTTGTGCTTTTGAATTCCTTTTGATCTACAAAACAAATCAGAATTTGTATTGTAAAACTCCAAATCATTATATGTTCAATGAACTTTCACGTTTTAATAAGCGTGCAAAAAAATTTGTCTGTGTTGATCACGATGAGATTTGACTATCGTAAAGAAAAGAGTATGATGAAAGAGGGTCCACAAACAAAAGACTGTGACGTCCACTTGCCCGGCCGAGTGAAGCTATGCTAGTCAAAGCCAACAAGACCAAAGCCGACTCAACCACGTGAAGAACAAAAAGAATATCAAATGATTTGAACCCAAATCATTCGGTCAGAAATGAGAGAAAGAGGCATCCTAGCCAACCCCTAGAAGAAACCTGATCTAAGGGAAGATCCAGTTCATCGGCATCTCTAATCATCTCGTGGACGTCCAGAGGTCTCTCGCCGGTTATCGAGGATCAACAGACAAAACTAAATCAGTCGATTGACTCATGCTGACCAGGCTCAGAAGACCAAGCTGACCTTGCCAACTAAACTCAGTTACTAGGATTAATCCTGCCAGTCTGAAGACGATTAAGCTTAGCCAACAATGCCAAAAAGCAACCGAATTGCAAACTCATACATGAAAAATATTAGAAATATCATAGTAGAGACTCCATTAAAGTAGAGACAAAAATGTAATATCATCACATTGTGCAGTCTCCCTTATAAATATGGAGATGATTTTATGAATAAGACAAAATATATTACTATTTGTTACTGTTCACACCTCTCTCTATCTCCTTTTCATGAGTTACTCGTTGGGTGTGATTCTTAGACAAATCATGATTCAACATTTTAAAAAGTTCAATGAGTGCATATAATGCCACCAACAAGAAGAGAAGTAACCCAAGAAGAAAAAAGTCGCATCGGAGACATTGCAATATGAAGTGTGCCACGAATTGGTAGTCCAATAGATTCAAAAGTTGAAGGATTAAATGTTGGACGTCATCCAAGACACATTGACCCGGAGAAGAGAACAACACTCGCGAGTTGAAAGGTCGACACCAACAACATAAGGGGTCCCCCGGCTTTGAAAAGAGAAAGTAACTCACAGTAATTCGACAGTGTTGAGTTAGCATCGATTGATAGATATTGGTTCAGGCCAACTGAGGTGCCCCAATAGCCTGAGAATGTATTCTCTCAGCAAATCTCTAAGGTTGAGCCCTCATAAAGATTCAAGATCCCGACACTGGAATTCTATAAGGGACAGGCCTATATGAGTGACCACATAGCCTTGTTTAAGTCGAATGTATATTTACTGAGGATCACCGACATACTAAAATGTCATCTCATTTTTATCACGCTGAGGCGTTGGCCCTCGGATGGTTAAATGAGTTACCACAAAGAGTAATCACTTCATTGTCAATTTCATGCAGATTTTTGCAAGTAGTTTGCAACACCCATAAGCCTCAAAAGAACTCACAAGCCCTTCTATAGATCAGCCAAAAGACAGATCGAGGGTTTTCGCTCATTCATCACACACTTTCAAAAGGATATGTTGGAAGTTCGAAACTTGGAAATCGTAATCTTTCATGCTGCCCTAGCTCATGGATTGAAAGAAGAACCCTTCCAATACACTTTGGTTCTGCACCGATCGAAAACATTAGACAAGCTATTGGAGCTGGCTCTGATAACCGCATATCGGCTGAGAAGTATAACTCCAATCCCGTTTCCAACATAGCAGAGTTCTCTACACATCACCTTGAAGAGGGACCCCCAAGAACAATGGAGGAGGGAAATTCACATGCTTCCTAATATCCTTGATATTAAGGCGCTTAGCCACACTAGGACCATAGAGTGACAGATAGAACATACCAACGAGGAGGTCGGGTCAGATATCTTGACCAATGGCCGACTAAATACAACCTTTTGCCAACGACGAAGTACCTAAGACAACTTCTTTGAGAGTTTTGATGGGCGAGATAGTGAGGTAATTCAACATAAAGATTATTTTAAGAGAGTGCCCCAAATGAAGATCAGATAATATCTCTATGATCCGAAGAATCACTATGCCTGCCATTGAGACCATGAGCACGACATGGAGAAATGCTGACACCTACAAGGCCTGATCGAAGAGCTGATCAAGCAAGGTTAAGAAACTTTAGGAGTTTGTGGCTCCATGAGCAACAACCCATCAATCAGTGAGGCTTAAGTGGAGGAAATATCAAAAGAGCCAGTCCAAGCCCACACAAGACACATCACTGGCATAATTCCTGACATCTTTGGAGGAGCTATAGACTCATCCTGTTGAGCTAGCCTGAAAAGGCTTCGATCGAGAGAACTATTTGTAGCTGCCCTTAAGCCCAATCGTGTGGACATCATAAGTTAAGCTGCAATCTCAAAGTTATTTGTAGAAAAAAAAAAATATTTTTTAATTGGGACATTTACATACTTACCACCCAATTCCAATATATTTACATATCTAACATCTAAACTTTACTTTTTTACATCCATACCGCACAAATATTTCATATCACATAAAAAAATCCATTTTTTTAAATTTTAAATTAGGAAATAGACCTTTTTTATGCATAGGTAAGTTGGCATGTTTGTAAAAATTAAAGTTTTGGTATTTGTTAGGTAAATACACCAGAATTGAGTAGCAAGCATGTAAATATTTCATTTTAATTTCATTTTAATTTCATTGGATATAAGAAAATTGCAGTGGCAGATATCTAAAGACGTGTTATCAACAACAACAACAAAGCCTTAATCCCACTACGTGGGGTCGGCTACATGAATCCTTTTTCTCTATTGCCTCCTGTTTAGTGTCATATTTTCATTTAGTTCTAGTAAATTAAGATCGTTTTTTATACAATAAGCCCAAGTCTTCCTAGGTCTACCTCTACATTTCTTAACACAAGTCGAATCTAAAACATCGACTCTCCTAATCTGATCATCAGATGGTCGACGTTTAATGTGACCAAACCATCTAAGACGACTTTCTCTAATTCTGTCCTTGACAGGAGCTAAAGACGTGTTATCATGCAATCAAAATTGAAGTCATACATTTTAAACAATTTTGTTAATATAAATTCTTTATTTCTAAAAACATACAATCAAAATCTAAAAATCATAAATTAATCAATAATATGCTCATTTGCTGCACTTTCCAATCATACATCTTACAGAGTGAAATGAATTGTTTACACACAGAGGAACTCACACAAGAAACACCTTTAAAAAAAGAAAAAAAATTAAAAATTAAAAGAAGGTTAATCTTTCAACTGCTGTATCTTTTGTTATGAAGCTCTCAATCTTTACCAATGCCTAACAAAAACGAAAAAAACAAAATAAGATTTACATAGATACCATCCAATTCCCATGAATTATGTATCTAACAACTAAACTTCTTTTTTTACACATATGCCCACTTAGCATTTCACTTTTTGATGTGATATGAATGATTTGGATTATATAAATGCCAAAAGTGAAGTTTTGATGTTGGATATGTAAATACATACGAATTGGGTGGTGTGCATGTAAATGCCCATGAAAAAAAGGTAAAGTTACATACATACCACATTATTTTTTGGTATTTACATATCTAATACCTTAAGTTTGATATTTATATTCATAAAACTTTAGTGCCATAAATCAATGCATGAAAAGATGTATTTTACGTTTAAAAAGTGTTGTACAAGTAAATATAAAAGTTTAGGGTTAGATATGTAAATGTATAAGAATTGTGTACTACGCAAATGTCCTTAAGAAAAAGATTAAGTTAATACACTGGGGAGAATTAGAGGGAAGAAAAAGAATACCTCAATGGCGATGGCAGTTGGTGTGAGAGCTGAGACATCACCATGGCCCTGTTTGGAAGCAATATCTGGCCAGAAAAATCACATTTATTAGTCATAAATATGAATAACAACAGCATTTTATTAGGATGATATAACTGAATATTCAAAATTACAAGACAATATATATCTAACACCTAAACTTTCATATTTACATGATTAACACTCAAATCTTTAATCTCACCAAAAATATCATTATTATTAACATTTAAAAAATGAAACATTCATTTTTCATACATAAATTTATGACATTAAAGTATTATAAAAGTAAATATCAGACTTGATGTTGGATTTGTATGTAAATAAGAATTTAGATATGAGAATATCAATCAGGAATAAATGAAATAAGACTGAATAAAGAGTTTCCTTCTTCGCAATGCTGCAAAGAAGGAAATATTATATTTGCGCGGATTTTTTCCTTTTTATTGAATATTTAGATTATAAATATGTATTAATTAAGTTACTTAATTTATATTATAATGAATATTATGTAACTAAAATAGATTGTTTATGGGACATGTATTCACCGCCATTATCAATCAGGAAATGCTTGAAACTCATGAGACATGTATTCACCGTTATTGTCAGACCGTAAGGTTTTAATGAAAGCAAAGGAAAAGACATTCAGCCTATTTGCTCAAAATATTGACAGGGAATGTATTTATAACTCCAAAGTGTCATAAACATAAATATAATAAACTTTACATTTTAGGTATGTAAAAACATAAAAATATTGTCTTATGTATGTACATTTCCCTAAAATATAACAAAACAAACTAATTGTTTCGACAAAAAAATTAAATTTCTTCTAGTTTTGAACATTTAATTTTGGAAGATTTACATACATAACTTTTTTTTTTATGTATGTACATCTCTAACTCCAAAAATTTAATATTTATTTATATAACACCTAAATCTTTAACATTGCCTCAAAAATACTACTACGATTAACTTTTTAAAAGTAAAATACACATTTTCATATATGAGGTGATTGTGAATCTAAAGGGTAATATAAATAATTATTAAAGTTCAGATATTAGATATGTAATTCATAAAAATTATGTGGTATGTAAGTAATGTTATATAATTTTGAACATGCTCGTCTTTGCCCCCTAATAATATAAATTACATCAAGATGTTCTCATATAATTTATATTAAAGATTATACATGTTATTTGTTAAATAACTTACCACTCAATTCCCATGTATTTACATATCTAACACCTAAACCTTGCCTTTTACATTTATACCACGCAAATCTTTCATAGCACTGCCAAAATACCACAATTTTAACTTTGAAAAAGTAAAATTCACCTTTTCATGCATTGGTAAGACGGTATCATGGCATGCATGTAAAAATTGACTAGTGTTATGTCTGTAAAGAATCAAACCGTACGTTGGAGGCAAACTCTTGCGTCTGCATTTGCATAGGCATCACCCCTTTCTTTAGAGAGAGTAGAAAGACGAATCAAAGCCTGCAAAAAAATTCAGTATAACATCAGCATTTCATAGGAAGAAGCAAGCTCTAATGGAAGCTGAAGAAAGCCAACGATTTCTAGTTTGTTGTAGCCTCTTCTAAATAGAAAAGTGTCAATTTAGGCCCGACACTCTTTTAATATAAGCTAAAATAACCCCCACAGAGAACTATTTTAGCCTGAATTTAGAAAATCCAGGGACTAGTTTGGCACTTTTATAGAATCTTATTAAAATGGACCCCATGTAAACAAACAGGAGATTATTTTGACATTTTACTCCTCTTTAAATAACTTAGGATTATCTCCACTAAGGCACATTAAAATATTGAGTTTTATCCTGAATGTAGCTAAAAGGCATTTTGGTGTAGAAGCTTTATAGGTTGGCTCTCACGCATCAGATTAAGTTTGGGTTAAGAATATATTTGAGCACGGGTATATAAGACATAATTTTTATACTTCGTTAATCCTAGCTTCTTAACTGATGATATCGAATCCTTATTTCTTGAATCTTGATAATGGGCAATTCGAGGATGGCAACAACTCTAGAAATTCGGTGGGGGAGGAATAGAGAAGACAAACACAGATTGAAAAGTATATACAATAATTTAAGAATGTCAGCAATTCCAAAAGTTATGAGCGGGAAGAAGAAGAAACACAAAATAGGTAGAATCATACCACATTTTTCTATTCCTTCAATGTCTCCAATGGAGACTATTTATAAAATACAAGAATACTAATATATTAACCAATCACTATCATTGAGACCAAATACAAGATATTAAACAATATAGTATCCGATCACAAATTCAAACGGTTGAAGATAGTTGAATGCAAAAACTAGACACCATTTCATATTTCCATCTAGATCAAGCCATATAAACAAAAATAACTGAAATTAAAAAGTTCAAAATTACAAAGTTACCTTAGTGTATGGATCACCAGGCTCATTGTGCAACAGAGGGCGTGATTCCGTCCCCACTGCGGCAATACGGCGAGCAAGAGCTTCGAGAGGCACATCTAACCAAACAGTTATTCCCTGTTTCATATACCTCCTGATCATAGTTAAATTCTATTAGCAATTTGATCAGAACTGCTAGTTATTTTTTGCATGGTGTTTACTGCAGTGCAGTACCAGTTGATGGGTCGAATAACTGCACCGCCGCCAGTGGCGACAACTAATCGCCGCATCAAGGACAAATCTCTAAGAGCTTTGCTCTATAAAAAATGGAGAGTAGGCTGTTAGAATTATTAACAAGGGCATTTTCACACATACCACACAATTCTTCTGTATTTACATATCTCACACCATAACTTTCATATTTACACACAAAACATTCAAATTTTAATATAACATACAAAAAAAGTAATATCACTGCTTTTTAAAAATTAAAATACGCCTTTTCATGCATAGGTTTAATGCGCCAAAGTGTTATATATGTAAATATGAAAGTTTAGGTGGGAGATATGTAAATACATAAGTATTGTAAGCTAGGTATGTAAATTTCCCCATTAAAAATTAGCACAATATGAATTGAGATTTTTAGCTAGCTGATGAATTGAAATCTGAAAAAATCTACTGAAGAATGCAATGGAAAACTCACCTCCTTGTCTCTAAAGAATGCCTCACTGCGCTCCTTAAAGATCTGAGCAACAGAATACATTCCAACTGCTTTCTCCACTAACTTATCGCTGATAGTAATAATAGGTAAGCATACCCAATCAAGAGAAAATATGTCATGTATTTATCTAAAATAGGCTGTGAAAAAAATATTCTATTTCATATCCACAAACCTACCTGTCGAAAAAAGAATAACCCAATACTTCTGATAATATCTTTCCAACTGTAGTCTTCCCAGATCCCATCATTCCTATCAATAAAGCATGCCAGTTCAACGGTCAAATTTTAAACGAGTAAAGTGCTAAAAGTGTTACAGTAATCCCCAGATTCTTAAAATATAGGCTCAAATGATACCCATGGGTGAGAGTTTTGGCCTCTATTAAAAGAATCTGGGAATTATTTTAGCACTTCTATAGAGTATGGGTTTGCTCCTTTCAAAAATTCAGGGACTACACCGACGCTTTTCTGAATTTTAAGCATGTAAAATGGTGATCCGAACTTTAAAGGGTAATAAAATAAAAACATGTTGCAAATTGATCAGACAAGAAGCTTACCAACTAGAAATATACATCTTTCATTCAAGTAGGGGATCACAACTTCAGACCTTTTCTGGAGGAGAAAAATATGAATCAGTGAGATAATGGCATGAGAAAATTAGACAAGCACTACTTCCCATGCTGAAAAGTGAGAAATATGAAGCTATAAACATTTTGATTTGCAAAGGGATGACCAATAACCTTTAAGATTAGGGCTTCATCGACACCTGTAAGAAATCTTTCGGGCTCTGCATTTGAAGACAATAGGTGCGATTATATATGGTGTAGAAATGTAAGAGCAAGAGAGGAAAGAAAAAGGAAAAATTATACCCCAGCGACTTAATAATGCTTTCAAAAAGTCCTACTAAATCAACCACCAGAAAATATGAATAAATTTACAAGCCACTAAAGAATACCTATTCCGGAAAGCTACAATTTCATCAAGCGAGCAATTATATAATAAACAAATTAATAAATGGAGCAAAGAACAATGAGCCACAGAAAATTTCTAATCTCACAGGAGATAAATAGAAATAAATATAATAGACTAGATAGCTCTGGTGGAAGCAACTAATCATCAATTTGTGGGAAAATATTGCCATGAGCATATAAAAAAAATCAATTTACGACAAATTATTAAATTATGATCAATAAATAAAAAGAAAAAGTATATGAAGAATAGCATGAATATAAAATAGGACTGTGAGAAGCAGCACAAAAATGAAGTATGCCTAACGTTTAAAAACATTTGCTTGCCTTAAATAACGCTGTAATTGATTTGTGCATATATACAGTATATTGATAAGTATTGTTCCTGTAAACAAACTCATTCTAATTAGTACACAAAACAACTCTACATAATGTAACATAATTCTCTCATCAAATATTCCCCAATTTTATTTTATCTATGCTTGCTTATTCAGCATATACAAACCTTTTTTTGTTTGCAAGGACAGAATAGAAATACAAGATTCATGTTCAATCTTATCTTCTTCTTTTGTAACATGTTGAGTCAGGTTTGCTCTAAGATTGCTCTTGTAGAAGTCTCTCTTTCTCTCACCACATATCTTTTCCTAAATGCATCCACTATAGCTCTCTCACTTGTTCTCCAAATCTTGCATGTAGCCAAGCTAGTAGTATAATCACCTCTTTTCTCCGTAATGGTTGATCCACTTTGAACCACCACTCGCCAATGCAACTACTTATTGTGTTTCCACCTCTCTTTCTTGATTCTTCTCTTAAGCAGTCACAAAAGAAATAATTGCTACAAAAAACTTCCTCTATTCATTCGTGACATGGGCTTATATAGAGCATTACAATGTTCTATAAATAAACCCCTAGGCTTCTTATATATTTTATTTTTACCAATAGGACTCTAAACGAGATACAAATCACAACAACCACAATAGATATTCTCTAAGCTAGAATCCCATTTCTAACAATTATCATACTGCCTTGATGCCTGCCACACCGCACTCAACAACAACTACGAACAAATTTGAGCAAAAAAATACCAATTTTCCTCAAAGGTTGTAAGCTGTAGGAGAATTTCCAAAATGAAAATTATACACCCACCAATCGTTTTTTAGTGAATTAAATGAAGCACCAAGTGCAAAAAGAAAAAGAACAGTGTAGAATCAATAAATTTAAAGTGTTTGAGTTTTCACTTACAGACAATCTCAAGTTAAATCTTATTTTTAGGCCAAACAAAATTCTCTTACTTCAATTTTAAATATTTCAGACATCATTAGAGCATATGCGGACAAACTTGATTTTGATGGTTAGATTAATTTAAAATATTTTAGCATATGCGGACAAACTTGATTTTGATGGTTAGATTTACACACCAGCTTGTGATGTACGACAATTGGTCCATTTAGTTTCATTTAAGAAAAAAGTTAGTTCACATAAAAGTAAAGTCACTGAAGATGTTTGAAGACCCGGCGTAGTGGCGTTCACATGAAATCATCATTCTTAAAACATAGATGTAACTTTGCATTTTGGGTTCGTATTAGATGCATGTTATCCCTAGCATGTGTTAGTTTGTCGATTCAGTTGTGAATGGCATAAGTTAAAATCCATGAATTATTTTCAAAGAGAAATGATTTGTCTATATATATGAAATTTTAATTGGGTAAGCCCTACAAAAAATCATTATTCTATCTATACATATGAACACATAATAGTTATTTTCCTTTCAAGTTTATCGATTGTGTTCTTGAGGGCTCGTAGTATTTGAGTTTCTTAGTGCAATCAGGAAGTTTTGTATTGATACACAAGATTTTAAGTTCATTACAATCCCGATTTAAGTCTAGTTCAAATTCCCATTTTGTACTCTATTTTTATTCTTTTCAATTATTTCAACATTATTTTTATGTCAGCATGAGTGTTTATTTAATATTATTTGCATTTTTCCCCCATTTAAACATGTTATTGAATCCAAAAAGTTTTTTTTCAAGTTCTGCCATAAAATTTTGACAGAAATCCAACATTTTTCTCAAGCAAGGGGTATGTAGGAGAACATATTGGATATTAGGACCATATCAACCGACTCCTCCAAATACCCTTGATTATATTGATAGACATGGTCATTTTTTTCTCCCATCATCGTATAATTTATTTTCATATTAGCTATATTTTTCTTTGAAAATAAATTGTGCATATTATCTTCTATGCTTTCTTTTTGCAAAATCACAAGAAATTCATGGAATTGTTTAAGCTATTGGCCTCTTATAGTGATGATGTAGATACAGGGGTGTTAAAACATCCTTCCCAAAATGTTTTGTATACATCTCCTAAAGGTCAAAAATAAATTTTATCTCTATTTTCAAGCAAGATTCAACAATTTATACGAGATGAAATGGATAATGCAAAATTGTCTTATAGTTGATGAAACTCGAGATAAATCAAAATGGAAATTAATAAAAATTGTATTAAGATTTGTTGATATAGATGAGTTTATTAAGGAGCGATTCTTTAATATCATTCATGTTAAAAATACAAGTTCAACATGTCGAAGGAATAAAATTTGTGATGTTATCCCCCATCATAATCTTAATATGATATTTGAGGTCAAGGATAGGATGGCTTACTACCCCACTTGACACTGCTTAGCCAACTAATCTTGATACAGAATTTGCCACAATAATCATTAGATCCAACTACATCTTGGCAGCATCTAAGCCCAATTTCGCTCATCTTTCTCACTCTAACAGCCTTGCCCAAAAGACCTTTCTCTGCATATATAATTGAGAGAAGAATATGTTTTCCAGTATTCTCGAGCTCCAGCACATAAAGCAAACAATTAGTATCTACAATCAACACACACGTGCCGATATTATTCATGCTAGCGAGGACATCCGATGTAGGACGGTCTTCACTAATATCATTGCTTACATTAATAAATTGTGGAGGCTTGGGAACAATAAGAAGAGTTTTTTTTTTCCGGTATAAATTATTTTCTTTCGTTGGATAACACTAATATGAATGATGTAAGGCTCCCTATTAGAACTGTTTTGGTCAGGTGGAGACCTCCTCCCAGGGGTTGGATTAAATTTAACACGGATGGGAGCTGGAAACCTGATAGTGCTGGTTGTGGGGGTGTGGCTAGGAATGATACAGGAAATTGCATTCTTATCCCCCCCCCCCCCCCCCCCCCCCCCCCCCCCCCCATATCAATTATTGATGCAAAATTCATTTCAAGTTAAGCTATTGTGTTTCAAAAAGACACACATGCGGTCAAATTAGAAAAATTAAAAAAAAAAAAAATCACCTTTTTTGTTGCAACAACAAGAAATCTTAAGCTGCGAGCTCTGTGCCCGATAAGAAGCAGTGCCTAGTTGCGAAACTTGCAGGTTAGGGCTCCGGCGGCGCCTACAATTAACCGCAAATCCATGCGGAATCCTTGAACATCCTCCCGTCTTTCCGCCTCTCTCGAATCCCATCCAAGAGCATGACTGATAGCTCATCGCCGAAGCCGCCTCCATGGTCCTCTAGATTCCCGCGAACCTCAAGAAGAGTAAAGAATCTTCGACAGCAATAACAAAAACCCACTATCCCCGCTTCCTTCAGCCTGTACCGTCCGCTCCAGATCCTGAATAAGAAATCCAGTACCCTACATCTAACCACATTAAAAGCCAAATGAAACCCCTGATTGCCACGAGAATAGATCCGAACAATAGCGAATTCAAACTTGAATCACAAAAGTGAGATAGAAATACCTCAAATCCAAAGAACAATCGACACAAAACCCTAGAAGAAGGAACGGAACAGTACAGCTTCCGATCAGAGACCAGCAGCTAGACGGCGCGGGATAGGTAGAGCGGACGAAGTAGGTGGCAAGCAGAAAGGGTTTTATAGCTGAGACGGCTTTCAATCGCGTGGGAATTGTGGAGTTTGGTCGCCGCATTCAAATTTACGGAATTATCTTAAATTTTTTAAAGAATTTTACATAAATACCATATAATACTTATATATTTACATATCTAATTATGTACTTTTCTTATATTTATATTTGTAATCCTCTGATTGTATTTTACTTTTTTTATGTGATTTTTAAATTATGTAGCACCGCTATTTCTAAAATATGTCATACCCGTGTCAGATGCGTATCATACACAGACACTTTAGATGCTACAAAATATGTTTGATTTTTTTTCAGGTCTGAACACGTCTCCAAGACCGCATCGAATACAAGCTTAACATGATTTCATGAAAATAAGACACGTGAATTAGAAAATTATCAAAATACATATAACTTTAATTATACCTCATAGTTCAACATGCATCATCTCTTGTCATATTGAAACTCCCTCTAACATTCATCAAAATTGAGCATTGAATGTGCATATTCGAAGCCGGATATTAGTAATTCCCTATTTGTAATCATTGAATATTTGAAATTTTAGTAAATCAGTTGGATGAATTTTTTTGAAATATATTATATCTAATTTTAAAAATTAATTTTCATAAACACAAGCTTTTATAATATAAATTATATTTATGAAGTTAAATTTTATTCTTGCAAAATTTATATTGTGATATAAAACATAATGAAAAATACATTCTACATTAAAAATTAATTAATTATAAAAATTACTTATCATTTATATTGTGTTCCAGTATTGTGTTGAGTTGTGTGTGTGTCTCTGTGTTCGTATCCTTTCTTCATAGATTAAAAGTTTAAATATCATATATATATATA